AAAAAAAAAGAGGTTTCTGGGCTACACGCTGCTTTGATAGAAGCATAGACCCACTATTTCTGAGAGTTGATGGCTCCCAGAGCTGGTGGAAAACGTATCACCGCCATGTTGGGAAGCTGAAGTGGGCGGAGCCAGCAGCGCCAGAGCCATTTCAGGCATAGAAGGCTGCAGTTTAAAGCAATAGGCTCAAGCTAATATAAAAAAATAAGCCACGTAAAGATGGCTACCACACAAAGAATCTGGATTATGTTCTCTTTGATATTCGTAACTAAAGAAAAACATTTGATTACAAAAGCTGTTGAGTTATGCCAAAATGTATATTTTAAAGGTACCTTGACTTCAAAATTTGGATGTAAGGATATGTTGCTTTGGAAAGGAGACTCTGCTTTTATTCCCACAGAAAGCCAAAGGCTATGGATTTGTTCCAGATTAAGATACATCAGGTTTGACCAGCCAAGACCCCCTGAAAGGTCTCCGATGACACCATGGCCCAGATGATCCAACATCCAAAACGGTTTGAAGGCAACTGGCTCAGACGATACACCCTCATGGACTATTCCATAATCCTAAAATTTTCTTTGTGTCCCCATAAGATACAGCGCCCCCCTCCAGCAGGAAGTAGTAAGAAAAACTACGCCCAAATCCCCAAATATACCAAGCTGACTTTGGAGATGTGTAAAGGTTAAAACCTTCCTTTTTAAGAAAAGAAAAGGGGAAGTGCTGTGGGATGGTCTGTATGGCAAATGTGTTGCTGATTGGTCAATAAATAAATCACTGATTGGCCCGTGGCCAGGCAGGAAGTATAGGCGGAACAAGGAGGAGAATAGAGCTGGGAAGTGGAAGGCTGAGTCAGAGAGACACTGCCAGCCGCCATGATGAGAAACAGCATGTGAAGATGCCAGTAAGCCACAAGCCATGTGGCAAGATATAGATTTATAGAAATGGATTAATTTAAGCTGTAAGAACAGTTAGCAAGAAGCCTGCCATGGCCATACAGTTTGTAACCAATATAAGTCTCTGTGTTTGCTTGGTCGGGTTTGAGCGGCTGTGGGACTGGCAGGTGAGAGAGATTTGTCCTGACTGTGGGCCAGGCAGGAAAACTTTAGCTACATACACTATATTTGAGTATCCAGGAAGCTAAATGAATCAGCCTTTCTCTGTCATTGAATAAGAACTTTTAAAAGTACTGGTTCAGTGTTAGAAATGCATCCGGTCAGTAGTTGCTGGGTAGTGGTAGTACACTGAGTTGCTAGGCAACCATGTTGTTGCAATCACTTTCTTTTCTAGTGTGTGCTGTGCACCATTGATTATCCCAAAAAGTACACTGTAGGTCATGATGTAGTCCCCTACAGTAGCTTTTTTAATTACTTACAACTCTTTCCAATTTTCTGAAATATCCTTCTCCTTAGGAGTCTCAAGATGTTCGTTACAAAACTCTTCAAAATTTCTCCCATAAAAACATTAAGAATTTGTTGAAGATTTTTACACTTGAACATATTGTTTAAAATATAATCATTCTCTCTGTGTGACAGCCTCACACAAACAAAGTATTTAAAGAAAATGAAGGTCTGTCATTGCTCTGTTTAATTAGCAGAAACTTTTAGAATTGAAAGATGTTTCAAAAAGTAGAAGAACTCAAAGGGAACTTGTGTAATCATGGTAGTTGTCTGATTAAAATCAGAATTTCATCAAGTCAAAATTCCATTTATAGGTGTCATCTGCTAGACTGGTCAGTTTTGTTTCACATTTTGAGTTTTTTCTTTCCCCAATTACTTTTACAAATCAGATGGTGGAGTCCATGAGCATGCCAAAAGATTTCTACTTGCTTCTGATTTGACACACGATGCAGCAACTCCCTTTACCATCTATGGCTTGGAAGGCACCCAGTCCCTTTCCTTTGTATCTAAATTGTTTACCACCTTGTATTTTTCTTTATGAAAGAAATGCATTTATTTTTAATGGCCTAAACTCTGGGATTTCTTTTCTAATGTTTCTAGTTATATTGAATGTACTTAAATAAACATTTTAATTGTGTTTACAGTTTACTTTGTATTATGACTAACACCTGCAATCTTGTAAAGATAACTTATCAGAGATACAAATAATTTTACAATGATTAGGATTATGAGACAAAATTTAGGATGTTTTTCTTTTTCTTCTTTTTTTGGGGGGGTGTTAATGGAATTATTACAGTAGCCTTCTACATTAAGACCAGGGTGAGTTTGTGCAAGGTTAACTATTCAAATATACTTACAGATCCTAAACTGCGTCAAATTACTCAACAAAACAGTTGCCGCTGACTATGTGCTATGGGCAACACAAGCATAGTTATTGCTAATTAAGTAAACTTTTTTTGTTCAATATTGACTAGAAGAAAGTTTAAATTTTAAATTTCTATAATGTATAAACTATCTCATAACAGCTTCAGAACAGGTTGAGTTTTGGGGTTTTTTTGCCTCTTTATTTGCACATTTGAGATACTCAATGAGACTGTAAAATCAGAATGAACTGTATTAATACTTCTAATAATGACTTGCTCATCTTCTGAGTGGTTTTTTCATACACTAACTATAGTACCAGTTGCTCTGACAAATTCTACTGTAAAAAAAATTAACTAAGAAATTACTCCATTATGACTTAATTATCAAATTACATGTTAGAGTTCAGTGTCTTTTCTGTAACTACGTTGGCAGTTTACAGAGCTAATACTGCCAAACTTTACAAGAAAGAAGGCACTCGTAACAAATTTGAGATAATTAATAAAGCCTCTGGTTACATCATTTTAATGCAAACATCAGAACTGGGAGGAACTTTTGGTATTTCAGTTTGTCTCCGGTCTATGACTGAACAGTCGGCTTCTCAAGCCAGTCAGCCAGCTGGTGGCTAGGTTGCCATGTAGGACCTCCCTCACCTACTTCCTAAGTTGACTAATGTGGAAAGCAACCTCATCAGAAACATTTATATATAAATGTATATGTGGTCCTATGTACTTTGATATTAGAATTTTCTTCTGGCAGGAGTACAAAAATATATTTTACAAAACAGCATGAGGCCTGCTATATTATGGGTTTTCAATAAATGTATTCCTTCTTTTACCCAATTGACTGAAGAAAGTTCTAGTAAATATAGAAACATACTAAAATTAAAGTGTTCTCAGAATATGGCATAGAAATTGACTAGACATAACACTAATCTAATGAGACTTCACTGTAGCTACCCTGACTACCCCGACTACAGACAACATTCTCTAGCTTCACCTGCCCAGTACTTTAACTATACAACAGATGCACTAATTATTCTTAGCATTTAGTGTGTGTGTGTGTGTGTGTGTGTGTGTGTTTGTCTACCCACCACTTTGGGAGTAGTCATTAAATTCTAATAAACTTACTAATGTGATAGGGATGAAAATCTAATAAAAGTTCATCAGAATATGCAAAGGAATAAATTACAATGTTTTTTAATACTTGTATATATGACCTTATTTATATTGTCTTCAGAAGTTTCAAACCTAACATCTAGTATGCCGATCAATCAGAAATGTCTCCACTAACTTGTTCGCCATAATAAAGATAGTGTTTCAACTTTAAAATAAAGGAATGAGTCTATCTCTGAATGGTAAATAAGGGTCAGCAACACTCAGATAATGAAATTCAGTTTGTAGAGACATTCATATCTTATATCCAGTAAGGATTTATTAAAAAAACAACAAATAATGAATAATTTGTTATTTAAATAATTAGAACAAAGTTCACTGGAAATATAAGTGAAAGTTCCGGACAATTTGAAATCTAAGGTTTTAAACCTTATACACTCTTAAGAAAATAGTAATTAACCATAGATGGCAGATGCTGCTTCTCAGTCAATGGAGACTCTCGAGCTTTACTCTGCATCTCATTGGGAAGGAAATATAAATTTTTAAAATAGAATTAACTTGGGGGAAGGCATCAGCGCTGCAACTCTTAGCACCAAATGTTTCTTCTTGGAGCACCAAATGCTTTACGGAAAACATTCCAAGTATCAAAGTTTTCAGATAGATAAATATTTATGGATCAAATCCATAAAGAACAGACATTGTTATGAAATATATATAGATGCCTTCAAAACTTTCTTTCTAGGCAGAGGAGACACATAAGTTAGGAGTCGTTCCCCACTTAATTGCTTTTGCAACCTTATGCAACACAAATGGATGATGGACAAGACTCATTTGTTTGCACAAAGAAGGAGATCTCGACTGACATCATGTCCAGATAAATCACATGGGCGCTATTGCTATGTATGAAAAGTGTCATGTAGAGAATTTCAATGTCCTTTGCCAAAAAGATTAATTTTAAAAACAAATTCTTCTCATTTCTGGTTAGATTCACGATTAAAGCATAACATTACTCTGGTTCATAAGTTTAAGGGCAATGAAATTCCATCTGTCTTTGAACCTTATGAATGATACTTTTTCAGTCTATGTATAGACTTGTGATTCACCCTCTTCATTTACAGCTCTTTGTTGTATTTTTATTACACATCTCCAGCCAGTGCAACAAATCTCAAGAAAGCTATTTTGCCACTTAAAGGCAGAGGTTTATTTACATTTCTCGTGGTGCAAATATGCTACATGATTCTGTAAAAATTTAAAGTGGTTACCAAAGAAACACAGCCAGAGCTTCTGTAGTATTTTGGATGCTCTTAAAATATCCCTGATGGGCACACCTGCATCAGAAAGGAAGTTCCTATTGGAGAAAGTAGCCATGCGTCCTGCTCTAGAGGCAGACACAGAACAAATGTCTACAAGGACTTACTGCAGAAAGAGTTGGGTGCACTTATCAGCCTTCCACATTGTACATGCATACACACATTGTACCCCTAGCATCAACTGTGAAGCAACTGTGAACATACTGGACGTTTTTCAATTGAATAGAATTCTATCTTGTTACTAACCAGAGGAGTTATGTATTCAACCCAAGAGAGCGTAAGTTCTATGTGGGCTTAAAGAAACTGATAACAAAGACTTAGGTAAAAATTTTATTCATTAATATGTGGAGGTGTGACTTTGGATCCAGCCAGTCAGTGACATAAATAAGCTTGAGCAAAAAGATTCAAGCTAGAGAATATGTGTGTGCATTTGTATATTCGTGTGTGTGCGTAAGGCTTCTTGGAGCAGTGCCACAAACTTGGACACCAACCAAAAGTATCACTGCAGCCCTTTGAAATGTCCATAAAGAGCACAATGTGGGTAATGATGCCAGGATGCTCCAAATCGTTTTTTCCATCTTGTGCACTCACATGCCCGCCAAACATGAACCGTTCGCCTTCTCCCTTCCAAAGTGATGGTTGTTGAACTTATTTTTAGTGTCATTTGATAAGCCTTTGTGCTCGCAGAGAGACATCCCACTGACCCGGCCACTGGTCATTGTCTATACCAGTTCACATCAAAGCAGGCGCACTTTGTCAGGTTTCCAGTCGAATATCCATTTCGCATCTGAAGTACAGTATCAAAAGTGACTAGATCATCTGAGCTATTTCCTTCAGCTGCTGCCGCCTTCCTCCCCCACCGTGTTTCTGCTCACGCTAACATAATTTGGCATCGTTGATGTGACACGATGGTGATATTTCTAAAAATCTATAGCACATATATTGTCAATGCTTTCTGATGGCGCCCCTCCTGATTTTAATTTATAAACTGAAGAAAGGAGATCTTTTTTTCCTGGGCTGAATCACACCCAAGGTGCGGTGCTTCTCAATATCCAAGTAACATGCATACAGTGATAGGTCATTCAATGTCAAAAGGCATAAAAAAGATGAGCAAAGTCTTCACAGGCTGCTGCTTGCTGTTGCCTTTAATTATATTAATTAAACTTTGAAATTTTCATGCAAAGAGAGTTGCTGGCTTGTGACGCTGAGGAGCCCTTGGAGACTTAAAAGAAGAAAAAACCCTGAGCAGAAGCTTGGTGGTTACTGCTTCCTTAAATTAAAAGCCAAACAAACACGTAGGTGTGTTTACAGATACTAATGCTTTATGCACTGTTAAATCCTAAACACCAAGAAAGGAGAATCTACCAGTCAGGGGACAAGGTCTCAGATCACGAGGCCTTATGCTGCGCTCCAGGTCTTTGGTTGGAGGCGGTCTTCCTGTTGAATTAACGCTGTATTAATTCTCTTGTCCCGAGTGCGTCATGAAAGAAAGGTGTCTTGGAAAACTAAAGGGCAAAATCCTGCTTGCATCCAGTACCTTGGGGCATCTCGTCCACATTTTGTCATGCGTGTACACTTTCAGTGTAACACTGACAAGATTTTCTAGTCAGAAAATTCCCGTAAGGCACAAAATCATAGAGGACTTAGAAGGCTTTTGCTATTTAACATAGCTACAAGGCAGTGGACTCCATTATCTGTTTAGCCTGGTAGGAATTTTCATGATCTGCATGTAGCTAAAGATCTTGCCAAACAAAAGCACACACACTGTGCATCCACGTCAAAAGCACCAGTCGCCTTTACAAAGCCGCATGGCTGGTGGGTCTCCAGTCTTTGCTTTGGGATCTTTACATCATAGCTGTGTCTGCTTTGTCTTCTTACACGTTCAGATAAGCTTTGCAGAAACCGTGGCATGAAAATTAACATTCCTCTGCATTTTCAGTGTCATAAATCATGAGTTATCGCCGCCGCCGAGTTTCATCACCTCTCATGTAGATGGCAGAGCAAGTGTTTGAAAATGTTTGGTGCACAGAAAGCAGGAGAGGAAACATTTCCTGACAGAGAGGACCTGGGCTGTTGTCCCAAGAACCTCTGAGATGCACTGGACTGTTCATTCTATTGGATGTCAGCATCATGAAGATGTGCTGTCTTCTTAGCTTCTCATTCTTTGTGCTCTCGTTTTATTGATGTGGAACTCGGGAAAAGTTTATGCACCGACCCTGAGGAAAGAAGGAGATCCACAGTGAAATACTGAAGCCGTTGTTTAAAAGCCAAGGAACATCTAGTTTCCACAACATGATGCAGCTAATGATACCCAAGCTCAGAACAATGTCCACACAAGTCACAATGTCATATCATTTTCCTTGGCTCAACACAATATAGCTCAGGTTTTACTTTACCGTTTTTTTTTTCCCCACAGAAAGTTAACTTATTTGATGGTATGGTAAAATCCACATAGGGGAAAAAAATCATGCAACTAAAACTTTCTTAGTGCTGTCTAAAGAGTGGTACCATTGTTGTAGAAATCAAACTATCAAAGACATTGTTGTATACGTCTCTATGATGAAAGAAAATGGAGGGATTTTCTTATGTCATTCCATGATTCTAAAATGTTCACATGAAGAGTATATTTAATAAGTTACAAACACTGAGGATAAGGAAACATGGGACTGGATATAGATATCTTCTTTGTGCTGTATTTATGAATGGCTTTTGTAGCTCACAGCCTTGTTTGATATCATGTCCAACATTGCCGACCCATTTCTCACACCACTGTAGATACTGCTTTCCAACACTCCGAAAATTGAGACAATTTTTTTGAATTATGTATTTTCAGAGTATTTTCCAGTCCAATTTCTAAACACTTTAGGGAAAGTTGTGTGGACACACTGATTCATAAACTAGTCACAATCCAAATAATATTTGAAAATAAAATTTCCAATTATTGATGCAGACTCTTCTTTCCTCCCTTGGTATGATGCTGTTGACCTATCATGTGGCTTGTGTTCAGAGTCTTCCACTGGCCAAAAGCTAGCCCATTCTCTTCTAGTTTAAGCCAGAATAATCATGTGATTAAGACTTTTCCATTTGCTATTACATCTGCTCTCAGAAGTTCGTCATGTTAGAACTTCCCCTAATGTGAGTGCTTGTTTGGAATACTTGACACATGGAAATATTAATATTAATATATATATATATATATATATATATAGTGAAAGAAGTGGAAGAAGAGAACTTAGAACATAAAAGCTTAATTTTTGTTCATTTTCAATTCAAACATAACTGCTCAACAAATTTGAAACTTCAGACATTTTTGAATACAGAAAACCATAAAGACCAAAAAGAGATGGAGTTTTTAATCAGCTTCTACTAAAAGGCAATTGACCATCAAAGTTTTTGTCTTCTAAATAATTTTGGAAGCAAGGCTATTTCTACAAATACTAATTTTATTAGTTTGTGCCTAACGTGAAGTCAGGTGTAAGTTTTAGATAATAATACATATCTTATATTATAAAGTATACTTAATATGAACACAATTTAATTTTCTCAGTTTTCTGAATTTTTGACTCAATATTTCTCTAACTATTTTTCTAAATTTAGGCTTTTGCTCTGCTCATACATGAATTCCACACATATTGTTCTGATGCATTGAGTATTACCTATATTGCATATCTAGGCATTAATATAACTAACTTGAATTTTATGCTCTACAAATGACTGAGTCATATTTGAGTGATAACGTTTGTCAAAAATAATAAAAATAAAAAATAAAAAAATAAAAATTGAATTAAATTAACATAATTACTTTCAGAATGAATTATAAATATATTTCTTCTGCTTTGGGGATGGAGATCTCCTTGATTTCAGTGGAAGTATGATTCAATTTATTCATTTTGCATGAGAAATTATTAGCAGTAGAATTTGCTAAATATTTAAAGGAACTAAACCTAGGCATAATAAATATGAATTTACTACTGACTTTAGGCTATAATCAAATATTTTAAAGTACATTGCCTTATAAATGCATTGTGATAATTCAATTATTAAGTTGTTGATCTTTCTTAATATACTTAAATCAATTGGGCAAATAAATTCCAAAACAAGATCACTCCCAACCAACCTAAACTAAATGTTTTCTATCATGTAAGAAAGGTGTATGTTGGTAACTGGCATCATTTTATACACTCTTTGAAGGTCATGATTATTTATCTAATAAACACTATAACTTTAAAGAAATAAAACTGCCTTCCTTTTAAAGCACACTGTTTTATGCAACCTTATATGGGACATATTACCTAATTACTGAGTTTCTGTGGCAAGTAAACAATTTGGATGTCATGTAAGTGGAAGTATAAATTGGCAAAATCTAGATGGTAAGCAACTATGCACAAAATGGTCTGAAAACACTTTTATTCTTTGACTCTAATCTGATGTTGGGACTTAAAATATTCACCGTGGGACTTTTGAAATAGTGAAACGATAATGTCAATTTATATTTCTATTCAACAATTCAGAGAATAAATTATGATTCTCCTAACTCAATACTATGTGACAATCAAATAGGGATCTTTAAAAGATGAAGGAAAATGGGAGTGAAAAGAGAATGCCAAATTGTTATACACACATGATCATAACTGTGCAAATGTGTGTCTAGAAAGTGAAAGATTAGCAGACAGCTTATCAGCCAACTGTGAGGAGTAGCATTCTCCATGACATCTTATGTTTCATTTGTACCTCTTCTGCACACTTGCATTTATTTAATCACTTTTAAAATAAATATTAATTTTCAAAGAATAAATTCAGTGACCAAAAAAATAAGTTCATCTATAATTAAATTTCTTTACAGCACTCTTTATTTATGGGTTATGAAAAGTCAGCCCAAATATCTATTCATGTTTTGCTTTAGGGAACCACCATTAACTGTTCAGTCAGAGATTTCCAACATTTGCTGGACTCATTCATTCTCGCGTCCAGGTTGCATCTGACATTTAACATCCAGATGAACCTGTCTGAATTGCAGTTCTGCTCAGGGGTGGGAGTGTCTGGAATCAGCAGATTGATTAGTAGATCTTAGAATCTCTATTCGGCATTTTCTATAAATATGTGATCTAGAGTTAGCACTGCAAATCCTATAATCTAGAGTCTTCCTTTATTTTTATGGTACTAAATTTCAGGAGTCTTGATAAAAAGGCTGTTCAGGCATCTGACAAGGTTATGGTTGGCTAATTTTTAAATATGCTTGTTTATATGTAAGGACATGGTAACACCAATTACAGCAGTGGTTCATCACATTTATGCTTCTGAATAAATGTATCCAGTGGTTCATTTAACCACATTTAACCAGAGGAAGGAGAATCTGTAATTTTCATACAAGAAAATTTCCTAGCCACATTGCTAGCTAGGGCACATGTTTTTCTGTTCAATTAATAACACAAAATATCCATGCTTTTGGTACCTGGCAAAATAGTTTGAAAATCCTTTCTTGAAAGACAACTACCAAAACTCTCCTTGAGGAGGAGGCCCTAGGGGAAATATTAGCCAGCTATTTCTTTAAATCAGTAGTGTTTTCATTCTGTGCTTCATGAACAACTGTGCATTCTACAGGTGCCTCAGATGCTACCACGGTTGGAGTGGCACATGTGAAGGTCTCATATCCATCCCAGCCTAAGGAACTCTGCTGTGTGTTATCTTGAAAACTGCAAGTCCATACTGTATAAGACCTTGTCTAAACTAAAACTTTAGTTTCATGATTACTAATACAGAAATTTAACCTGACCTTATGTTAAATGGTGAATGAACTATTCATATACCTTGTTTTATATTTTTATAGACCTTATGAATGTCTTTATAGATCTCCAACATTATATTATCCCTATAATTTTTCATAATATAGACAGTCTGTATAACCATTGGGTATAGAAGGAGAAGGCTGGGTTTTGGATAATTATGTTTATGATATTGATACTGAATGATCAGTTCACTTAGAGCTGGAAAAAGCTTAGGCTAAGCTCTCTTGCTTCCCTTTTGCTACACAAACACTACTATATAACTTAGTCTTTTTCCCTTTCTGCCTTGAACATGGGGAGCTCGTCCTGGGCAGGGTGATTTAAAGTAACAAGTGACCATGACAATGAATCTTCTGATATAACTGAACCTTGATTTTGGCCCATAATCATTGCCCTATTTTTATCCTTCTGAAGCTTTCTTGTTGTATGTTTTCTCTCACCACTTCTTTAGAAGTAGTGTAGGGTTAAGTAAACATAAATTAATGAAAATCTCTTAATTCTTACTTTTTCCCAATCATAAGGAATATTTGTATTAACCTTAACCTTCACAATCGTCCAACAAAGCATCTCTTTGACCTCTACCTTGTGCAAGCAGCCCTATCTGATCTCCTTTCCCTCTTTTATTCTGGAAGCCTTTAACGAAAGATTATACAGATAATACTATATAGATGACAAATGATGATTTATTTGAACTGAACCTGAATTACACAGAAACAGAAAACATGAACTTGAAGTTTAGACATGTGAAATGCTGAGGCCATGCTTTTCTTCATTAAGCATTCTACAAAAATAAATCCTCTGAGTCCGAAGACTGAACATTGACTAATTTTATTGAATTCTAGAAAACAGTTTGCTCGATATGAATCATTACAAACTGGAAATATAGCTAGGCTGGTGATACAAAGTTGCAATCCCAGAACTTGGAGGTATAAACAGGAAGATTAGGACTTCAAGGTCAACCACAGATACACGAGTTCTAGGCCAGTCTAGGGTGTATGATTCTCTGCCTCAAAAATAAATCTGGAAATCTACAACAGGCCCAACTTGCCCTTTAAAGTGGAGCTCCACACGAAGTTTTAATTCTATTAGAGATTTTCACCATAACAAGAACCCAAATATACCAAGCAAGAATGTACCATGAACAAAAGACTGATGTAACAAGTGGTAACAAGGCTAAACTCACAGTCATCTCTGACAGCTTCAACTGCACTCAAGTGATATTTCAGGCAATAACGAAAATCTCCTCAGTAACCATGTATCTTACTGACATTTTCCCTCACTCACATCATTATTAGCAATGCCCCTTCTCCTGGGCTTCACAATAAACAAGGGAAGCAGGATACCCAAAAGAAAAATATCAAAAAACATTACCATTCTTCAGTGAGCTAAACCAACAGAGGAAAACAAGATAGCAGCAGACACTGGCATGTTTG